TGAACTGAATGTAGAGCACCTGCCTCCTCATTGTGCTGCCTGTTATGTTGTTGTTGTGGTTGTTATGACCATTGCTTGACCCCACACATCAATGATCCAAGATCAAAGATGTTTAAAACCAGTATGGTGTGACAATGTGGCCCTTTGCAACACTTTGTACTTTGGGGTCATTTTTGACCCCTGAGGACAACAGGTGTTAGTAAGTGTTAGTAAAAAAAACCCCATAAATAAATCAAATTACTTAAAACCTATTCCAATCATGCATGGCATAGTACTGAATAACACCTGTTATTTTCAGACCATTTGATGGATAAAAAACAATTTTTTTGTTGGCAAAAGAGTTCTTTTCGGGTCAAAAATGACCCGAGGACAACACAAGGGTTTTAATCTGATGATTTTCTTTAGTGACACTTTCCAAACTCCACCTTAATATTTACCTTCTACCGCCCCATTATTTAGCCAAGTCCCACTTTACTCCCTGAGTGTGACTGCCATTTACATTGATAGTGGAAATGCACCACTTTGTAAATGTTGACGCCAGCCTTTCATTAGTTATTGCATTAGAGAACAACACTGATAAGGTTTACAAGGGCCGTGAACTACTTGACAATCATACTGTGAGGTAAACATGGTATAAACTTAGAGAAAAAAATCACTTCCACAACTCTGTGATAATTTTAAAAATACTTTAATGGTTATCATTTAGAATAAGTCACAAATTAGCTTTCACAGACCGAATAATGTTCTTATTGTAGCAAGAAATAAGCCATCTAGTTTATCAGGGATTACAAAAACGTGACCCGATGGTAAAGATAGAGGTTTATATTGTATCATTTCCGTTATTAGAATTCACCCACTCACTCTTTGCCCAGGGAAAGGGTTATTGGCAGCATCTCGTGTAATGCATTAACCACTAAGAACAAGGTTGCACCTTTTTCCGCTTAAAGTTGCTGACATCATATAATATAACACAGGTTAAGACAAGTGACTGATAACCACAAGTTAGGTGCAACAGGTCACAGTAAATGCCTCAGTGACCCTCACCTGGACACACAGTAGGGATAAAGGACTCAGAGAGAGGGAGGAGAGAGAGAAAGATAGTCCTCGGAGACTCAGGAGCCAACTGCACAGAGGAGGTTTACTTCTGAATCCTCTCAGTTGCTTAAAAATTTACAAAAGTAACAGAACTTCTTATTGAAGAGAGACACAGAAGCTCTTATTTACAATTTCTTTTTTGCACGGAGGAGGTTTACAGCAAGCCACCATGAAGCTGAAATTACCAAACCCAGGACTGGATGACCGAATCCCATCTCATGAAGATTTGGAAAGGATGGAAACCGAGGAGGCTGGGGACAGGCCCAAATGGGACAACAAAGCCCAGTACCTCCTCACCTGCGTGGGCTTCTGCGTGGGACTCGGTAACGTCTGGAGGTTCCCGTACCTGTGTCAAAGCCACGGAGGAGGTATGCAGGGACGTGTGGGGCAGTAGATGGGAAAGATATTTGAATATAGACTAGATGCCACAAAAGAAAATATCAGTGGATTTACTTTGTTTTTGCTAACAAAAGGACACTATGGAATTTAGTGATTAGAAAGAAATTATACCATTTGAGAAATGCTTTTGTTAAAAGGTTACAACCAAGTGATAAGACGAAGCATGCAGACATGTTGTATCAACACAAAGAACCCCACAGTATGAATTATGGAAATGCCTGTTTTATTCACCATAAATAATCAGATATAGATACTGACTTATCTTATATTTTTATTGAATTTTATTTCTATTTAATGAAACTCAAAAAAAGAAAGTCTTTCTTGAGATAAATGCTATGGGTAAGGTAATGTGTGAGTCTTATTCTTGGTTTGTACAGTTCCTAGTTTAGCTAATAAAAAGCTGCTTTTCACAGTTTACAAGTATCTTTGTGCTTAGTTTCCTTTGTTAAAGTGTCTAATAAAGTGAAAATCTCACCACTTTGCTAATTCATTATGAATGTGAATGTTGTGCTTTTAGGAGCGTTTATGATCCCGTTCCTTATCCTGTTGGTTCTGGAGGGAATCCCGCTGCTGCACTTAGAGTTTGCCATCGGTCAGCGCCTGAGAAAGGGCAGCGTGGGAGTGTGGAGAGCAATCAACCCTTACCTGACTGGAGTTGGTGTGTACAAAAAAACCCATGCATGTGTGTGGGTGTGTGCGCCTTCGTATCTTTGTGTTTTATTGTGTCTATGTTGGCAAAATGGCTCCACAGACAGCAATAAGTTATAATTCCCGTAATGGCTAAATATCTCATGTATTAAGTAATTTAGATTTTTTAGAGGATGAAATTGATTCTGCTGTTCTTCCATTAGGTTTGCTTTTGCAGCAACGGTTACTCAAGCTAGGTTTTAATACAAAATACAGACCGAGTAATCATTCCTATCCAAGCAACAAAAAAACACTCAATATTGGGATCACTTAAGTGTACACTGAGCACCATAATGAGGCCAAATTCCTGCCAAGCATATATCATATGTAACATATATAAACATAGCACTTACTATGCTGTCATGCTAAAATAAGCTAGCTACCCACATCTTAAGCAGATAATCACTGTGAGTTTTTCCACTGCTTTCGTCATTCTTTTGCAGGCATTGCATCGTTACTTGTCTCATTTTTGGTCGGTATGTATTACAACACGATCATGGCCTGGATCATGTGGTACCTGTTCAACTCCTTTCAAGATCCTCTGCCTTGGAGCCAATGCCCTCTCAATGCTAACAGCACAGGTGTGCCTTCATCTAACAAGAGGTTACAATAGAACGTTATGCGATGGTTAGCCTGCCATCAAGTTGCTCTTTACGTGCCGTTTGCAGGTTTAGTGGCTGAGTGCGCACGGAGCACCACTGTTGACTACTTCTGGTACAGAGAGACTCTGAACACTTCAGCAGCCATTGATGACCCTGGAAGTTTGCAGTGGTGGATGGTGCTGGCCCTGTTCGCTGCCTGGACTCTGCTGTATGTGTGCTGCATTCGTGGCATTGAGACTTCTGGCAAGGTCTGAAAAATCCCAATGTCTAAGAAAAGGAAGTGATTTTTACATGTAGGTTTGCTCAAATATACACATGCCATCTTTCTTTTTTCAGGCTGTCTACATCACCTCCACACTCCCATATTTTGTCCTCACAATCTTCCTCATCAGAGGATTGACTCTCAAAGGCTCTACAGAGGGAATAAAGTACCTCTTCACACCAGATGTAAGGGTTCAATGTATCACGTGCCACAAGAATCAGAAGGGACAAGATGAACTTATTTGTCATTATGGTTTTTGTACAGTTTTACAACATCTGTGGACAATTACTCAATAACGTCGGTGAAACGTGGACCTCATTGTTTCCACTCTTCATGCTTAGCTAAGCTAGATGGCTGAAGGCTCATATTTATTGCACAGACATTACAGTAATATATGGTTACATAACTGTTAGAAAGTGCATTTACAGAGATACAAGCCTATTTCTTTAAGCTATTATTTGCTGTTTTAAGACACCCAGGCCTGAAACATGAGAGCAGTAAACCTTTATCACAGGACTGATAAAAGCTGATATAAAAGCTGATACTGAAGGCTGAAACACAGCACAGTTAGTACTGTAAATTCCAATACATAAGTAATCTAGATAGGCACTTTAAATCCAAATTACCTGGTGACAATCTCACATAGCAATTATTTTTCAAACAGCCTTGTTGCATTGTGTGTACCCTCTTAGATTATTAACTAACAACAGCCAGTGAGATGGGAAAGTGTCCGTTTTAAAATTCTGTATAGGTCAGAAATCTGCTCACAGCTCTATAAGAATGCTTATCTTTGGAATCTCTTTAGGTGGATGAATTATTGAATCCACAGACTTGGTTGGATGCAGGAGCTCAGGTTTTCTACTCCTTCTCCTTGGCTTTCGGGGGCCTCATCTCTTTCTCCAGTTACAACTCTGTTCAGTGAGTAAAGGTCTTGATTACACAGTCATAAAGGAACCCACTGTCCAGCAAGTGTCCTCACACTATGTCCCTTTAAAATCTACTTGCAGCAACAACTGTGAGCAAGACGCCGTTCTCATCTCCATCATCAATGGCTGCACCTCGGTGTACTCTGCAACGGTGATCTACTCCATCATCGGTTTCAGGGCAACGCAGAAATTTGATGAATGCCAGGGAGAGTGAGTTTCAGTTTGCACAAAAGATGACATTACAATAGGGGAAAAATGAGAGAGTGAAATTTACTTTTATCTAAATAGACTCATATGAGTTTTTTCTTACTTTTTTCAGTAACATCCTGCATCTCATCAATGCCTTTGACTACCCTGAAACCTCCATCACAATAGACAACTACGATCAGGTTCTGACCAGCCTAAATCAGACAAATCCAGATATCATCCAAGGTTTGCCCTTAAAAACCTGCGACATGCAGAATTTACTCAGTCAGGTCAGTGGAGCCTTTATTTTTTTGTATCCTGTTAATTCCCTGATTATTTGCCCAGTTTGAGTGTCACAAAAATGATTCAAAATCGATTCAGAACTTGAAAGATTTGCCCTGTACCGCTTCAGGGTGTGGAGGGAACGGGCCTGGCCTTCATCGTTTTCACAGAGGCCATCATCAAGATGCCTGTTTCACCTCTCTGGGCAGTCCTCTTTTTCATCATGCTCTTCTGTCTCGGCCTTTCAACTATGTTTGGGAACATTGAGGGAGTGGTGGTTCCCCTTCAAGACCTTAGAGTTCTTCCTCAAACTTGGCCTAAAGAAGTTTTTACTGGTAACTTTCTCACATTGAGAACTTCTTCATAACCACCATGGAAAACTGGGTCTGATTGTAACCGCCTGCTTGTGTTGTTTTTTCAGGTGTTACTTGCTTAATATCCTTTGCTCTTGGGCTCATATTCACCCTACGCTCTGGGAACTACTGGCTAGCTCTTTTTGACAACTTTGCAGGCTCAATCCCCCTCCTAATCATCGGTTTCTGTGAAATGTTTGCAGTTATCTACATCTATGGGATTGATAGGTAAGTGTGCCCGTCCTTGTAAAGTAATGACCTTCTAGGTACTTTATCAAACACTTGTCATTATGGGAAATTTTGCTTTCCTGGTATTTTCATAAGAGGCAGAAAAGGTCAGTGTTCAGTGAGGCAACCAACAGTTCTTGTTAGAGTTCAAGCAAAGCGTTGCCTTCTGACCTTGGAGTAGAGATAATGTAACTCATCACAGCAGAAGTGTGTTTTAATGTTGCAACAGGAAGGGGAGGAATGTGTAAAATGTACTTTTGCCTTAGAGTTTCTGACCATGCACATGAAAGCAGTTAAGTTGACTTATTTATAACAATTATCTAATAGTTAGAAGAAAAGGTGCAAAGAGGTAGTGTAATATACATCTTTTAATGTTTTCAATTTGGACTCAAAGTTAGCTTAGAGAAAAATAAAAGACTATAGTCTGCTTTGGTATCAGCCAGTTGAGCAAACAGTGACACGTGATGCTTTATTTACTGTGACTAATAAAATCTACAAGGTCGCCTTTTATGGATGATTTTTACACGTACATATGTCTCCCTCTTATTGCTTTCAAACAGGTTCAACAAGGACATTGAATTTATGGTTGGCCACAAGCCCAATATTTTCTGGCAGGCAACATGGAGAGTGATTAGCCCACTCCTTATGATCTTCATCCTAATTTTCTACTTTGTTACCCAAGTCACCAAAGATTTAACCTATCTGGTGTGGGACGAGGAAGCGGTAAGTTTGTTGTTCACAGTAGTTTACAGGTTTCAAGAAACAAGTTTTTACATACAGTAACTGCAGGAATAAAGATGTAGTTTGATGTTTTGTGCTGCAAAATGTAACTTTTTTGTTGATCCCAATCACAGGCGAGCTTTCCCGTACTGGAAGCACGTCCCTATCCCTCTTGGATCTACGTCATCATCTTTATCCTTGCTGGAATTCCCAGTCTGGCCATCCCCATTTTTGCCCTCTATAAATTTTTCCAGAGGAAGTGCTGCAAGGACAAAAGCTACAAAGATCACCCAGTGGACACTATCTCAGCCAAAATAGAAATGAACGGCAAAGCAAAGTTCTAGGTTGATGTCGCCTTGATTGTTTAATGTGACTGATGTGTACTTGCTTTTATTGATGTGTTCTATGCACAAGATTGCGACTGCTGACTATTATCTTTGAAAAACAGATGTACATTTTTAAGTTGTTAGTTAGTTTCTGCACGATTGTGCACTTTGGGAGATTTATTATAGGGCTACAGGACACCCAACGGCTGCTTAGCTTATCTTGGCAGAAGGAAACAGGTTGACCTGCTCTGTTCATAAAATATGCTTACAAGCATCTAAAGCTCAATAATTAACATGTTCTCAGATTTCATCTGTATGGAGTGCACAAAGAAAAAAAAACATGGGAGAGCCGGTCTGATATTTTTCTCTTGTACCCACAGAAAGTAGTAATGTTAAGTTAACCAGTCAGTGGTTGAATATATAACTATTCTTTTGATATTTTAAATGTATTTTCAATTCAATTCAATTTTATTTATATAGCGCCAAATCACAACAAAAGTCGCCTCAAGGCGCTTCATAGATACAGAGAAAGTACCACGAAAATGTACCACGCATGTATGTCTAATACAGACAATTGACTAATTATGGGACAAATCCTGACCATCGTTCCCCAGAGTGATGGCTTTGCAGTCACTAAATCTTTCAGAAGAATGGTATTCATTCATTCAATCAATGCAAAGATGAACTGAAGACGCTTTGGTGTCACGTGGCAACCAAGCATATTACTCAGACACTTTATGTTGCATTTTCCTGTGGTGTGCCAAGTGCCTCTATATACATGAGGTTTATTTTAATATTTTGTAAATAATCCTTGGATTAAGTAAGATTTTTACACACTGTAATAATGTCTTCGATTTTTTTAAGATGGAAAAAAACGAAGAATACGGGCCTCACTACCTTTCAGCCCCCTTTTGTGTTGTTTGGTTATTGTGTTTTTAAGGCGGACTGTTGTAAACTTCTACCTTGTGATGTACAGTTCCAAGAAAAGATTTATGAAACCTTTGGAATGACCAGGATTTCTGCACTGATCCTAACCTGAGGCACAACTATTGATAAACTTTGTCTGACTAAACTAGCACAAACAACGGAGCTTTTCATGTCGTTATTTGAACACACTGAGCACACCGATCATGTCATATCTTTGACTTACTAAATATTGAATTGATTAACTCTTATACTTTCTTTAGCAGCGTCCACTTCTATGAGAGGGTTTCAGTAGCTGCTCGTGAAAGTTATACAATGAGCAGCAGGACTTTTGTAAAAGTGTTTCAGTTTCTCAGTATTTCTGGAATGTTTTGTACAACACTCTTCATCAGAGCTCGTCTTTTTCACTGTGTTCTTTGGCTCATTGAAGTATTATAGCACCCAGCAATAACAATTGGTCATGAAACCAGTATCAATGGCTGCAAGGCAACTGGGACAAAGCAACCCCAAACCATGATGAAACCTCCGCCATGCGGAGATGGAGTTTTTAGTGTTAGTGTTCAGCAACGTTTTTTTTTTTTTAATCAAACATGACATTGTCTGCTTGACTCATTTGTTGACACTTGTCAGAGTCTTGAACTGTTGGCACAATCTCCTTTTTGTTTTTTTGTTTTGTTTTTGTTTGCTTTATTTTGTTTCCTTGGTGATGTGCTGCCTTATACAATATCTAGTGCAGTTTTCTTGTCCAGCAGACAAAAACAAGATTTTATTAAGTTACCAAAATCTTTACAGACCCTGGACTTCAGATACACATAATAATTTAGCTACTCATCTTGATGCATGCTCAATCATCCAGGTAAGTAAATCTCCAAAAGTTGATTCTGTTCATCTGGACGTAGCGTTTTCAGTGGGAGAAATGTTTCATCACTCATCCAAGTGACTTCTTCAGTCTCAGCTGACTGCAGGTTTCCCCAATCTTATAAACAGAACATTTGCATAATGCCTGAAACTAGTACCACTGAAGGAACAATGGGCTGTGAGGTCAGTGCCTTAATCATAATTGTGCAAATTCTCATGACCACGGATCAAAGACCAGTGGCCATGAGTACCATTCACAGAGAGTTGGGGAAGGACTGCCATCACAGCATTGTAAGATGGTGAAAGATGTACCCTTAGGCCCCCTCCTCGATTCAGAGATGGTCTTTCCCTTTTCACGTAAACGGCCTCCTTGACTCCATGCTTAAACCAGTGTTCCAGGATGTGTACATGCTCATCCTTTAAAGAGTGTCCACTGGCATGTAGGTGTAAATAGACTGCAGAGTCCTGGCCTGACGAGGTAGCTCTTCTGTGTTGTGCCATCCGCTTC